GTAATAACAGACTTAGAATAAAAAGACTATTGGTCAACTGAAAACAAATTCCAGCAAACAGAATAAACCTTAATTAGCTGACTTTAATAGCTAGCCTTACTTTTGTCATCAGCAGGTTACAGTATAAAGATCTGACTTGAGTGCAATTTAGTCCCTTGAAGTTCTGATCAACAGCTTTTTCTGAGAATTTTACACAATGTGGAGCTGTGCCATTGCTTCTTCATGAAAGGAAGAAACACAATACAGTAATCAACATGAGAATCACAAAAGCTTTCTCTTTTGTCATTGTAAGAAAGGAGCTATCTAATTTTGGCAAAATTCTTAAGTTGGACAAAACCTGACTGAAATAGCTGTTTTTCAGTTTTTGTTGCTCAAAACTTGGATCAAAGATGACATCCAACTCCTCAGATGCTGCCTTGACGTTAGCTGCTAAGGAGCTAAGAGACCGTATAATTCCTAAGTCTCTTAAGTTCTGCATCAGAGGTTTTTTTTTTTTTTTTACTATTCCACCGTGGGTATTAAAACACTGAACAACATCAGTTGTTGTGACAGTTTGTTTCTGTCAAAAGCCAAGTTGCCGCATCACTTTCTGGAGGTTGAAAGGGACGGTAAAATTCGAGTTTGTGCCAAGCCTTCCTCTCAGATTAAGCATCAGTCAAGCTTCCTGTAAAACTGGGTCATCTCAAAAGAGGATATTTGCACCTGCTGCTTCATATAATGTTACCATTTTACAAAGGCTGATCGTCTGTGACACTCAATGAACACTGGATACTAACAATGAGTGTATGGGCTAATTTGATATGTCTCATTGGTAAGAAAAAGACCCATTGCAGAACTCCATTAACAAATGACATTCACATCATTACTCATGTTGTGTCATGGGAGCAGAGCTATAAAAAGTCAATAAGGGAGTGAGACAACTGGCTAATCTTCTTCAAAGTGATTGCTTTACATAAACATTAGAGATGAGAGGTTGTGCATCATTCAGGAACAAGGTAATTCTCCGACATGCACGAAAGAGTGTACACACACTGACAAAGCAAACATTACTATGCTTCACTCTTATCTAAATCACAGTCACAAGTCCCTCTCAAAGTCACGGCGATAACACTTTTAGGTAGTCCCAATCGGTCGACCGCTTTACAAATGGCTCCCCCTTCACCATATTTAACAAACATCAGCGAGACAAGAGGCATCCTGGAGCTGCAAACAAGAGGAAACGTGGTCATTAAAATGGCTAGCAGCTGCTCGAAGTGCCTGCTTCGTGTCCCACAGGGCTGGCTTCACCTTGGTGCTGTGAGAATGATGTTGATGCTGTGTCTGTTTAATTCAGATGGAGTGCTGAAAAAAAGGGCATTTGTGAGATATCAGCGGTGTCTGCTAACTGTGCAATTACCTAACCAGGGAGAGTAACAGTGACGTCTTCAGAACATGAATAGAAAACTGATGCACAGTGAAGTAGTTAATGCAGCTTGGATACTTTTATAACAAGGATAATTTAGATTATTACAATTTGGGTATATTTTGTTGCTTTGGCCATCAATTCTACTCGTTATGGCAACATTGTACTCTCACGTTAATTACTGAGATCTGTGAATGTGTTGCAACAAGTCCAATCAGACAAGAAACAAGAAACAAGTTAGCAAAGAAGCAAGATTATAAACCACTTTACTTGTACAGATCTAATTGCGTTGGCACTGACCTCACTAATTAAGTATCAGCCCTGATTTACCTGATAAACATTAAATACAGGTGCTTTGGCAATGCAATTACAAAATGAAATGTTTCCAATTTCAGTTTATATTCATTTAGTCACAATGTGTCCTTGACTCTTGTTTTTACTGCCAAAGAAATCCCAGGCCCCCTGTTACCTTACATAAAAGCAATCCCAATGACTTCCATGCAATGAGATATACAGATTAAAATATGGTATAAAGAGAACACTAGTATCTGATATGACGTCAGTACTGGCAGATACCCACAGAATGAGATAATGGAAATGGAATTGTGAAAGAAGAAGTTGGATCAGTGCATCCATAATTTATTTGAACATAAAACTGATTTGAAAACTACCCGAGTGTGGGTAATAATCCCTCAATAGGAAAACTGTGCATCTGCGCAACTATGGTAAGTATGGTAGGTCAAAGTTGAAACCTTAAAGTTTGCCAGTAAGTTTTCCATTGGCCTTCGTTTTTTTTTTTGCTTTAAAATAAATTTGGATAGGGCTGTTTTCAGACACACGGCATCCCTGCAACCCCCAACAAAAAAGTCAGGCTTGCACTTCATAAAAGAATCTGGCTCAACATTTCTCCGCAGTGCAATTCCACGTAATCTGGGAAGATGCTGCACTGGACTATGAAAGGCATGTGTGGATTTAACAACGAGTATACAGTAATAGAAACTGCTGTTCAGTGTTTTGGAGACTGATGAGCCTTCAAACTAATGGACCTATCGGATTCTTGGGTCGTATTTTATCATCTTGCTGGTACCTGAAGCACCCAACACAAACATTTTTCAACATTGCTGTTTCCTTCTTCTATTTACTAATTTTGCAGCATACTCTACAGTGTTGTTAAAGATAAGAATGATAGCCAAAACCACTCAAATAAAACCCAATTTGTAATAAACCAAAAATATCCTTTAACATGATTAGCCACAGGCTGCACAGGCATGGATTACAATGTCTGCAACCACTGTGAGGAGCAATAAAAGAGTACCTAATGACACTTAAGTGTAGAATATATTTCAGCTAATACTGTTGGACAAGACATGAGGAAGCAATTTTTTCTGGTAAAAATAGCATAATATATGATCATTAAGGATTGTAGAGGTTATATTCAGTCTGTCTCCAGAGAATTGATTGATAGGTGGAGACAGCCAGGGGAAGGGAAAACATAAAACCGGGCTAAATTAGGTTTTAAAAAAAATTCAATTTCAGCCCCGAACCGGGGAAGCCATTACTGCAAATCCTATAGACAGCCCTGAAAGCATGCAGGTTGGTCGAGCACTGGGTCTAGTAAAAATGACACACTAACGAAGACAAAATAATCAGCTGATGGATCTCTCTCCCTCTTTCTGCTCCTTTTTCTCCTCCTTGTCAGCTGTATCTAATGATACTCTAAAAATACCCGAGATCAAGGATGGTACTGTCAACAGCACAAAAAGGAAGAGATGAAAGAGCGGACAGCTTTTCCAATAACAAGCCGTTTAAGGCTTTTTCTGTATGAATGGTTTATTACTAAGTGTTTGTCTGTGTACATCTTATGTAACAGTCTTCAGTTAAAGGAATATTTTGTAAAAATAATTAATTAATTTTCATGAATCATAATGATCTTATGTAATTCAACCTCTCTGTTGGTGTTAGAAATATGCCTCTAATCATTGTTTGAGCTTTCACTGAGAACATTGAAGAACAGATGTTAGCTTCCAGATGTGTACAGTACTATCACAGTCTGTGATGTTCACCAAGTCTCAGTCAAGCGCGATCAGTTTATTTACAACGTTTGTGGGTCACAGCTAGCAAACGCGTCAGATAAGCCACATGAGAGATGTCTCATCCTTAAGCACATATGGGAACCTGTAGCTACAACAAACAGGCCAGACAATTTTTACCCAGCTCATCATCTGAGATCCAGAGGAATGGCAGCTTCTTGTCACTAATAAAATAAATATGGGTTTTCAGCATTCTAATTACAGCCAATCACAGAGGGGACGGCTTTGAGATTTCAGGATGCGAGGCAATATTTAACAGCTGTGCCGTTTCTAGGAGCCATCTTAGATCCTGTGATTGGAGGAGACAGCTTCGTCGGGCATGAGAGAAGACAAAATCCACCTCATTAATCCTTCAGCTGTACAGATTCCTCACATCTTGGAGCTGTGATCATTTTCTTCAATGGCGCACTGAGACGTGCGGCTGCATCAAGCCGCTGTTTTACCTTGATACAAAATAAAGTATATAATTTTTCCTCCTATTGGCTCCCTGCGGTGCTGTGAGTGTTTATACTGTCACAGTCCCGCTATTAAAAAACAAGCCTTTGAAATAGGTGGTGATGAATTGTAACAATAGCAGCATCCACACTCTGTCATTGATCACAGAAAAATGAGGGTTGTGGTTACAGGTAATTGGGTAGCTATTGAAGCATATGAAATAAATTGTTTGCAGGAATGTCACACAGGAAGGAGACAACCACCCACCCACAGACACACACCTAATGTACAGAAACACAGAGTTTCACAAAGACAGAAGAGGGACAGATGGTGTAAAAGACAAGAACAAACAACAGTCATAATTTCAGTAAATACTATGTTTGCTGTTTAAACTGTGGTGTGATACACATTTACACTTATTTTTTATATTATTTTATGAAGCTAAAAGCAGAAATATATCTTTAGTTGCAATATTCTTAATATAATAAATCCTACAGGAAAATACAGTCAAAATACGTACATCAATACCCTTAATAAGTGAAACAATTATTACCATTTCTGAAACTGGTGTATAAGCTGTTAAGCTGAGTATTTTTGTGTCACAACACACAATATTTTTTTGCAGATATAAAAAATACAACCAAACCACTTATGTCAGTTCCTTTTCTGGAGCAATTTATAGCTCAGTGTAACTTTCTCTGTGTTAGGGTGTCTTCTTCCTCTGAATGCTAAGCACTGCCCTTCTTGATTCTGATTGGTCAACAACTGGTAAAGAGGACTTTCATTGGCCAGCAAAACAACATGAAGGAAATAGGATTTTAAGATGCATTAAAAAGACTTAAACAACTAGGAAGCAGGGAGAAATAGATCATGGATGTTAGACAGTAAAAGGTGCTGTATGGATGACCAATGGAGGCCCAGTATGTGCAGTATTCCCACAGTTGGGATGTAACTGTTGTTCTTGCAATGTGTGAATCGGAATATTTTGAAACAACCTGACATTTTTGCAGCTCTAATGCACATGTTCAAATTCAATACACTGTGCAAGCCTGGAATTGAATAGGATTACTTACTGCTTATCCATTTGGCATTGGGGTCATGAACCTTGAAGTCTTTTCTAAAGAGGTCTCCAACAGTCACCTTGCCCTTGAGAGCCAGGCGGTCATCCTCACCTGCAAAAGGAAGCAACCACAGCGTTAATATAAAGAAAACTCTGCAACTCCATGTGTATCAATTACAAGAAACCCTTGTAGGTTTTTCTTTCCATAACATGCTGGAGTGAGTAAAACAAATAAAACTGCTTTGTAAGCTAATGAAGGGCTTGACAATGATTCCTCTTTATATGAGAGGGAGGTCATAGAAAAATATATTAAACAGGACAAAAATAATGGCCATAATAAGGTCATGTTTGGAATAATGCTTCACGTCCTCACTACATCCTGTTCCTAGCATTTCTGTTTCAGATTTGACACATAACATAGCAACTATTATACTGTAGCTGGCTCATCTGGCAGCTGGCCAGTGTTAGTGTTATAGTTTGAGTGATTATATCATATCATATCTGTTAGAAGGATCGATATCCAGCCATAAAAAAGGGCAGATTTCGAGTTTATTTAGAGTATGTCGGTTACATCAATATCTGATAGTTAGGCATTAGTAAAATACTTTTACCTAAAGCTGTAATGGCACACAGTATATTTTCAGTGTGTGACATTTACAATAGATTCAAAACAAACAATTTAATAACTTTTGTATTGTTGTGTTCTGACAACACGAGAACAAATAACATCCTCTTCACACGTTTTGATTTCAGCCTGCATCTTAACAACTTTTTCCCGCAGGCTGCAACTGTTCACCTTTAATAGAATAAAGACTGCAACTGAGACAGAGGGAAAAAAACACGAAAAGCAGAGAATCGTCCCCCAGGCCTTTGATTAAGACTAGTGCGGCTTCTGATCATCAGGCCAGACATGCATATTTACAGCAGTTGCCTCCTGCAATTCATTTCAGCCTAATTTCATCCATCAATGCTCATCATCTCCTGGCTGCTACATAATATGACTCATTTCACCTCTGTATACGTGGAGGGAAGATAAAAAGAAAATGGCAATATGTCAGGACATGCTTTGTTTTGCAGGTTTCTTTTCATAATGCCTTGTTGTTGAAAGGATCTATACAGATAAAGTTGCCTTGAATCTAGCAAGAACATTCTCAGACTGAAGTTTCATCTTGGCAAGTTTTGGTTAAACGTTAACTCAAAAATGTCTTACTGGATTTAGTCTCCTGAACAGGGACAAGACAGTTGAAGGGCACATCTAGTTGCTATATCAAAGCTGTGACATTTTAGCTACAGGACTGTCTTTCTAATGTGTGAAGTTTAATCCCTCTGCTAAACCTGTCTGTGTCCATGCTGCAGCTATCAATTTATATGTGAGGTAATATTGTTTTTTTCACGTTTTTTATTTTATTCTACATACATATAACGGAGACAAGTGCAGAAGGTAAAGCAGGATAACAAAAGAAAAAAAAAAACCTTTATAGGTAGGTTTAGCTTTAGATTTCGAAAACTGAAAATAGATGTTTTTTCAAAACATTATACCTAGATCAATGCTACATGTAATAATTGTCTTTAATATGAAGCTAATTTGTCTGAGGTGCGTTTGAATTATGTGTATGGTATCTGAGCTTTTTTACTTTATATGTTTTTCTTACCCTCACCCAACTAATGGCCAGATTTTATGTATCTCTGGTATTACTACTGCAATCACTATTAATAATAATAACACCATTAATGTATTATTTCTGTCACAAAAAATGTTGCCAGAATTGCTTTGCAATAAGGTGAAACGAAAAAAGAACAGAAATGTAATAAGAAAACAGGACAAATAAGTTGAGAATAACATAATAATTACTAGAAGACATACAATATGAAAAATGGACTAGAAAGAGGTTCAAACATGCTCTACTCAAAGGGTTTGACAAAAAATAAAAAATAATAAAAAGGAAGTAGGAGGAAGGAAAAAATAAAGCACGTTTTTAGGGCTGAAAAGGGACAAGGATAAGTGTTTCTTTTGGAACTTTGCAGGGTTGAAAAACCTGGACATCAGCAAGGGAGAAAATGATGTGTCTCTGTAACCGTCTATTGAAACCCAGAATAATGAAAATGCTTTTAGGTGAGTTTGAATGTCCATAAGGTTGGATGACCCACTGTGCTGGTTCAGTGGTAGAGAAACCTCTGGAACATCAAAAGACCATACCAGTGTTTCGCAAGTCTTAGCTGGCAATGAAATATAATTGCATACATTTTACATCACAGCCAACAATTTTTAAAATCATACTGCACTATATGTTCTCAGGCAGGTGAAAGCTTTTTGCTACTTGCCAGGAAGCCAATGGTTTCACTTTATGTAAGTGAGGCATCCATTATAGGCAAGATCAAGTTGCAGAGACATGATATGGCTGTCTGGTAAAGTGGTTGAAAATGTGGCTTGTTTTAAAACCTTTTACATGATGCGTTCTTGTAAGCGGCTCTGATATCAGTGATTTAGAGTTTGCAACAGTATATAGCTGTAGAAAGAAAATAAAACCTGGAAGACTAGCAAAAAATAAGGGTTTTATGTGAATTTGAAAAGCTTCCTGCATTAAAAAGGATGATGTTTCACGACCAAATCTGAATTCTCAGGCGCTGAAGCTTCTTACAAGCACATAAATCATTGAAGTAGCATCAAAACAACTTGCTTACCAGGTTCATTATCATGCAGTCATACTAACGGTTTCCTACACAGATAAAAGCCAAACGCTCTTCAGTGTGATGGATTACCTACAGTATCTCACAACAAGTTGATCTGAACACCATGCTGACATTAGGTGGGGACAAAGGCTTTAAAAAAAGGCTGAAAAGATTAATTAATCAAGCTGCCACACTGCTACAGCCAACGTTGTGACGATGTACTTATGAGTAGTTGTTTTTTCAGATATATTCTAATGTTAGTATGCTAATATGCTCACAAAGTACAACTGAAGCTGCTTGGAATATCAAAGGTTTTATAGGTATTTCATCATAGATTAAAGCCTCACCAAAGTTACTATGATTCATCCTAAATTAAACATGAACGTCCATACATAATAGGCTTGGGCAGTATCTATATTTTTATACCTTCCTGACATTTCACCATGTTATACAGTATATGACGGAGTTTGTGCAAAAAACCCACAAAAACCATAAAAGCTGAGCTGCTGGGGATAGACGTCATTTGTAGCATGTATGACATTGTCCAGCCTACAATGCTGTGTGTCTAATATGCATATACCCCATTCACAGCAGCCATTTTGACCTGAAATAGTAGGATAATCACAGGTGTTACCAATTATATTAGATAGATAAAAGATAAAAGATTCTGTTCCATTAAGGTCAAACAGAGTCAGGGTATGTGCTGCTATTGTGCATGTTGGCTTACTGGGAAGACTAAATGGAATGGTGCCTTAATTGGTAAATGGTAAATGGACCTGTAGTTGTATAGCGCCTTTCTAGTTTTCCGACCACTCAAAGCGCTTTTAAACTACGTGCCACATTCACCTTTTCACACACATTCACTCAGTCCATCGAACTAACGCATACACATATTCACACACCGATGCACAGCATTGGGAGCAAATTCGGGGTTCGGCATCTTGCACAAGGATACATGTGGTGGGAGGAGCCGGGGATCGAACCAACAACCTTCCGATTAGTGGACGACCCCCTCTTCCTCTGAGCCACAGCCGCCCCTATTGGTGTCATTGGTATTACCCTACAGTTTCATGTCAAAATAGCTGCTGTGAAAAAGGTCAATTAGCTGAGTCTCGCAGGGTTTTAATACTTATGGCCCTCAGAATAAACAACATAAAGGAAACGCTTTCTACCATAGATTCTTGCTGAAGGAACTGTTGATACACTCTGGGAGAAACACTGCCTTGCAGAGCCGGAGCGTTTTATTCTGACTCTTTTCTAGCATTCACACCACTGGTTTAGCAGCTGACAAAACTCCAATTGCAGGCATTGTAAATCATGTCACGTGATGCCACTCAGCCAGTCAGATCTGTGCATTCCGATAAACATTGCGACTCGACTCAATGAGTTAGATACACACACAGGCGAGACGAGATGATAGACAGTCGGAGAAGTAAGTGAGTCAGAGAAAAGTAACTTCACATGGCATGCTCTAAAAAGAGGGAAGTAGACAGGCTGAGACAGAGCTTTTAATCCAGAATGGACATTCTCTTAGATGTTCAAACTCAAATCCAAACTGAGTGCAAGGAAAATAAACAATCTAAGAGCCAATATGATCAATCAACCAGAGAGAGGAGTGCCTCTATTATTAATCAAATTGAAAATAATACCTTCAGGATTTCTAAATACTATGGTATAACGTAATACCTTCATACCGCCCAAGCTATTGAAGATGAGTCATTTCACTGAAAACCAAAAATATGAACCTCATGGTGGGACTAGAGGAAAAGTCAAGGGATCATCAAATTCATTTGGATACACTGTGCATTAATATATTTAAAAAATGTCATAGCAATCCATCTAATAGTAGACTCACTTCAGTCTAAAAATGTTTATACATAGTATATTTATTATTCAAATATCACGATCTCTTGTGAGGTTGAACTTGTGACCTCTTGTGGGTGTCCCGATGCCAAGGTTGGTATACACTGGACTAATTGATCATCCACTAATCGTTTCAGCGCGAGGAGGAAGTTACAATTTGAGGCTAGGTAACAGTTGACTGTCTTTTATCTTTTTGCTCAGACAGAATACACTGGTTGGTGTTAGGACTGAAAATAGGAAAAGATGCTCCGCTTCTATGCATCTTTTTCCTTCTAAAAGAAGACAGTTGTAACTTTATACCATTTTCTATGTGATGGTGAAAATATAAATTCAGTTTGTGCAATGGGTGGGAAATATTTTTTCGAGTTCCTTTTTTACCAATCAACATGGTTTTAAATTGGAAGAACGCAACATGGACTTGCATCATTCTCCAAACGGGAGCGTGAGCTGTGTGCGAGCTGCATGTGGCATATTGTGCCTAACAGATGGACGGACTGATCCTCAGTTCCTCCCTGATTTCATCATGGGGGAGAAAAACACCTTTGTAGGCATCTGCTTGGTGCATCACTTGAGTTTTGAGTGTGATTATCAGAGTCACCAGACTGTGTATAGACTGCAGGGAAATGCAATAGCGCACATAAGTTGCAGCCTCCCATCAGATGGCGAGGTTTAGAAGGGATAAATACTGATTTTATAATCAGTTCTGAAAGCCAGATTTATGGATTGAACACAGAGGCAGTTAATGGAGAAATTTACTTAAGAGTTTACATTTAAAATTACATTTTTTTAATATAGCACAACCATTTAAGTATGTCTTTATCTCGTCCTCACAGAGTGCTGTGATCATAGGCAGAAACTTTGAATTAGTCTGACAAAAGCGACCTGTCAGCCCCAGCAGGGTCAGCTCACTTGAGCAGTTTATATGCTAATGTGGCACGACCTCTTTTCAATACAATGCTAAAGCAGAGGGAGTTCAGATCGAAAAAAAAGATAATTTGAGGGTCTCCATGTGAGTCAAATACAGTAAGTTGGCAGTGTTGACTACAAAAAAAAGATGTAATTCTATCATACAAAGGTTTTGTACGTATGGACTAATATCCTCAAGGTGGACTGAAGCACAATTCCAATTGAATGGTAATGTTTATGTGTGTCCAAATCAGGGTTATGAGTTGAGACTATGGTATGCCAGTATTGTGTTTGCAGCTTGTTTCCGCTCCCCACTAGTGGCCAGAAACATGTTTTCGCGAGTTCAACCTACTGTGGAGAAAGCCCAAATACTAGTTGTAGTAAACTGGGCTTCTGCTGCACCTTTCATGTCCAAGTTTCTGATGACTGTCTGACATGTGCACAGGTGTGTCCTCACCTCAAGTCATGTAGTAATTATTCAGTTATGGGACAGAATAATGTAAAAATGCTAAATTGAAAGTGAAGGTCTGACATTGGTAAAACAGAGGATGCATCTTCTGTTACTAATGATATGAAAAAATGTTCCAAACTCTGCAGATTGGTTGATGCAGCGGAGTGAGGTCATCCTCCAACTCCAGAGGTAACTCAGTTGGCAGGGTTATAGATACTATTGATTTTTTTTTTTTTAAATTTGGGGGACTTGCAGTGGGTAGTTTTTGAGCAGATTCCAGCATTTTTAGACTAAATATGTTTCAATTTTACTACTTAAGCACGTATAAAAATAAACAAATAAATATTTCCCCCCTTGGAATTTATGTGGTAATAGGGAGAAGAATTTGGACTTTTGTGTTGGGATTTTTCTTTTTTTTTTTTACAGAAAGCATAATTAAAACAGTTATATGAAATATGTACAATCCAAATGCTAAATATTTTATAAAAATTGGTTTATTTAGTAAATAGTGTAAATGTAAATGGTGCATTGGAGAACTCTTTGTTTCTGAAATCCTGGCTAGGACCCTGTACATCGGTTCAAAAATAAGAATATGATCAAAAAAGGCTATAAAAACATACTTGCAGATGTACAACAAAACGTTCAGTGCAACTGAAGAGCCGAATTCTTCATGAGAGTGATCTAACTTACTGTCGGCTTCATCCAATTATCTCTGTACTGCTTGCATTCAGCTGCGCCAAATGAATGCAACATGTGATCTTCCCACAATTTCAGTTAGTTGTCACTCTGTCAGTCAGCCTGACATCCTTCAGTCTGAGGAATACCCAGATGCCAATTGTGAACATCTGACCTAGTTGTATTGATGTAGAGAACAGAGCAACCTCTTAGTATTATGGAGCTATCAGTTCCAGCAGACACAGGTTGTCAGAGAAGGAAAAGGAGAAGGAGACTGAAGCTCTATGTGTGCGAGAGAGTGTGTGCGTGTGTGTGTGAGAACAAAGTGGTTGTCAGGAGCAGTTAGAGACTGGCTGGCTTGTCTTGCAGGGGAGCATCCATCAACAAACCCTCCTGACTGAGTGGAAACAACATGCTATCTCATAACTCCTACAGTTTGCTGCTGAGGCTGAGGTGCCTTTGTTCCCCAAATGTTTCTCCTTGATGTATAATTACAGCAAAATAAGTTGTTCTGAATGATTGCTGGATTCAGCATTTTAATTGGAAAATTCTCCCTAAAGCAGTTAAACAGTGTTACAAAAATCTCTCTTTTTTGTCTGTAATTAAGCCTTTAACGTGTTATTTTCTTAAGAGCAGTGGGGGAAAATCTGCTTGCTTTTAAGATTTATTAAAATCAATCTTGATTTGTCTTGATTCTGGTGCAATGCCTTGCCTTTACTCCTTCTTGTTTCAAGATCTAAAATATTCTTAAAACAAGTACATTTCTAAAACTGATTTTTTTCACTTAAAGTGAGGTCTTTAGGACTAAATTAGGACACAGGTTTTTTGTAGTGTAATTCGTGCCTTTGACTACTTTTAGCACATAAAGATAATCAGCAGTAAGTATGCCATTGTTATATCAGTTCCTGAGAATCAAAGCTTTTTTTGCCACATTCAGTATTTTCTTTGCAATCATACAGAGAGGAATTCATCTCAAGATGCAGAGATAGCAATTTCTCCACAGTTCGGAGCCTGAATAGACTGCATCGCCACACAGACAATAATGCATGCATCTTTGGAGATTGTCATCAGTAGTATGTGAAATATGATAGCCTTTTGAGTGGTTATTCATAATTTGAGTACCCTGTCAAGGCTAAACACAGCATTGTTGACAGGAAAAAAATTGGTTCCCTGCACATTTGTACACAGGCGTTAAGGCCTGGCTCACAGTCGGCATTCCAGTACGGTGCCAGTTCTTCCACACCAAACTGGGAAAAAACATTCTATTCTATATTCTCCATTCTATTTCCATTATTTTATTCAATTTCTTTATAGACCTGAGGGTCATAGTCATGTTGAAACTCTCTTTCCACAAAGCCACTCACTAAAGACCAAAGCCTAAACCAGCTAAACGGTCCCAGATAAACAATTCACAAAAGTATGTGGACAGTGGCGTCCTGGTTGAAGTAAAACTTAAATATTAAATGGAAAGTTCAGACAATTCACAAACTTTAAGTCTTCCAAGTCCACTAAAAAGAAGTAATAATCACCCGAAAAACTGAAAGTCTTTACTGTTTTGACTTTAAATATGTTGGCTATTTTGTGTGCTGGACATTCCAGATTAAAGATACATAAGGATTTAACTTGGCAAGTACAAAAAATATTTGACTCAGTAGAATCCAGGGATTCAATTAATAGTTCAACCCTGAATACGATAATCCTGAGAAGGAGTAAAATAAACTGTCTTTGCACTAACAAACCACATGCCCTTGAGGAATGATTTATGGAGCCGCATTATCATGAAGCTCATCTCAGTTGGTCAGGATATCTAATTAATCCCCACCAACTTTCAAAACTTCATCTGATGAGGCCAGAGCATATTTTAACATCCCAAAAGCCTTTGAAATACCAAACAAACGGCCTTTTTAAGGGGGCAGTCTGCTGGAGGCCTCACAGTTGCTGCTAGAACCCGGCAGCTTCTGTCGAGACTTGGAGCGAAACAGTGGTTCTGCTTGAGCACACAGAGTTGACGCAGGGAGGGGACGGATTAGGGCGAGTACAAGCTGGAGACACCACCTGCCCGGCCTCCGCTTTCTGCCTGACTCCCGCCGGCCCGCCTTGTTTGGAAGTGGCACATTAAACAGCTCCGGTTCATCTGAGTCCATAACAAACGCCCCGGGACAGGAACAGGTCACAGCCAGGATGTGACAAGGCGTTTTAGGCCTGGCTGCTTTGACACCTGCCGCTGCGCCTAGTTCTACGCCAGCGATATTTTTGCTCTGACACCTGTCTAGATCTCTAAGGATTAGTGAGAAATACATTGAATTTCTTTCATAATTGTTGACCCTGCTTTGCCACGATGCTCCCGTCATCCTCAGAAACATTACCTGCAATTGTCTGCGACAGAAAATCATAAACAAGGGCACCGTGATTACTGTCACTGTAACTGCATTATAGTGCACACACACTGGCAGTTCTATTGACTGATTTGGCTCTGGCAGCGCATAAAACCATATCAAGGAGCTTTATGAGCCTGAATATAAACAGATGGCCTATTGATTAAACTTTCATGTAAATCTCCAAACAGAAAACCCGAAGGTCACTTTGAAATCAAACTCAGATGCCTTAAAATAACTAAGGGAAATGTAGAAGTTCAAAATGTGTGTGTTGTGTGTGCGCTGGGAGAGGAAGGGCTAAGTGAAGGAGACAGATGGGGACTGCGTTCATGAAAAAAGCAATGTTGCGCAAGCTGACTTCAATGAGGTTTACTGACCTTCGCTAAATGTGGCCGTTACAGCAACAAGGAGTGCCCATGTGGAAGTTAACTGTGACATTACAGTGGGTGACACTGCAAATATTGCCTGAGAGCAGGGCCCACACGCACAAGGACAGAGGTACCGACAAACACACCGTATTCTTTGCATTGTTTGTAGTGAGATTGATTGCAAAACCTAATGGGCATGTCTCTGCATAATAATAGCCATGTAAACAGAGCGATGTGTGGTGTATGGTGTTGTGACCCCCCCTCCTCGTCCTGTGCCGTGTACCTGGTGTCAACAGGATGACGGAGGTGACGATCAGCGAGCAGATGACCAGAATGACAAGAAGGGCAATCGCTATTCCCTTCCAGTTCCTCTGCGGAGGGTTACTGCCCACCAGCTCCTGCAGAGAGAGAGACAGCGAGGAGGAGAAAAGACATGGTCAGAGACAGTAAAACGAGTATTATAGGAGCAAATCAGAGCAAAATTTACGAAGAAAGAATGAAGACAAAATTTTAACAATATATGGAATGTCAGAAAGAACCAAAAGAGAGTCATGTCTATGAGACTAAAGTGAGGAAAAAAAAAGATCCAGTGGTAGTATAAATGGCAAACTCATGAAAAGGAATGATGGGGGTGTCAGTCAAGGACGAACGTGAGTCAGAGTCGCAGCCTCTCGGCTCTCAAGGAGACATGCCAGCAGCAGCAGCAGCAGGAGGAGGAGGGGGAGAATTCTTAATGAGCCGAGCATCAGCGGCTATCACCCGCAAACGAATGTGACAGATAAAAATGGAGCCCACGACACGTTGGTGAATTGCATGCTTGACAACAGCTTGGCAACAGCAGAGAGAAGCTTTGGGAAAACGAGTCGGAGTTATGAGCAACCTTGAGGCAATTTTTTGTCCAACAAATGAACTTATTGCAGTTTAATATTGTGATAAGTGAAAACTGAATTTTAAAGAATGGATATGGCACTAGATAAAGTATCACTGCATGATATAAAATAGAAACAACAGGGGGATAGAAGCTTATGGCTTCTTGTGCATGCCCAAATCAAATAATGTGCAGGGGAAATGCATTTGATACATGGTGATGTTCAGCAGTTGGCTGGGTTCAGTGAAAAATTAAATGAGCACAAGATGTTTTACAATATATTACGGTAACAATTTAGGACAGTCTAGTCAGCAGCTTTGGATGACTCTGGATGTCCTCCAAACTTCCAGTTTAAAGCTAGATGTACTCCTTACTTTACAGCTATTAAACAGCAAAATATATGAAATATAAATTATAATATAAGTCTATCTAGCTCGCTTGCGTGGTCTACTTTTGTTTTTATATGGGGTTAGCAAAGAATTCTCCACCATGTCCTGAGGAAAATAAGTCTTTAGCTTCTAGATGTCCTTCTAGCTAGTTGCTAATTTTGCCCATGTGCCGTTAAGTGCTGGGCATGTAGCACAATTGCACTGGATCGATTGCTAATATAAAAAACTCTTTTGATTACTGTACATTTAAGAGTAATCACAAAGCGTATCACAAAGCAAACAGGCAACCACTACCGAGATGGTAAAGTCTGGGTACACCTCTATTAGATCTTATGATTGAGACACTTTGGTAAATCAAGAAAAAAAAAGTGTGACTTCTGAGACAAAGCATCCCTGAAAGTTTTCCACCTCGGGCCTGATTGATCTGGCTAGCACACACATAAACCAGCGCCAAAACCACAACCAAGAGAGACTCCCACAGAAAGGATCCAAAGCCCAAACAGTTAGTGGAGGATTAATAAGTTCTTAATTAGTTTATAGAGGATAAAAAGAGCGAGGCAGAGCATGTGCTTTGGGGACCTGTGGCTAGGGCATTAATGAATACACACTAAGGCTTTAATGACACTGAATGACTGAGCTATGAAACAAACCCTTTAGTGACCTCATTCCCACCTTAATTGAAAGGAGCCCAAGACATCATTAGCCTGCAGATAAGAGCAATCGGAGCTATTTACCGGACTGCCCATTATCCACATTCATTAAAATGGGAATCAGTTAGTTAGCTGTATGGCCATATTGCAGAGCTGTGACAGCCACAAGCCACAGCACCTTGGGAAGAGACAAAAAGTATATGTGATGTGTAATATTCAGTTTGTGAGCTAAGGAGCGCAGATGACTGATTTGCGTTGTCAATTTGGAAGATCTGCTGCTTCCAGAAGTAATTTTACCACTGTAAGTTTCAAGGAAAAATGTATTTGTGTTAAAGCCATCAGTTTTAATTATAACAACTTTATTTCAGAGATTTAATTGTGTTTTTCTATCAGTTTGGTACGGGAATGATTCTAAATATTACAATGCCAACTGCTTCTCCAGACAGATAGCCAATTAGAGGTGAAAATCTGAGTCATAGAACATTTTGAATGTGTTTTAAAGGAAATACCTTTCCACTTCTTTCTTTCAGTTTTTATGCACACATACTTCTTTTTAAAGGTATACTTCTAGTTCAAAAACACTGGATGCCCAAACTCCATAGGGGATAGCATAACATTTACTTCAGAGAACCATCAGCAGATAAAGATTAATCAGCAACAAAAAGAGCTTTATAGCTAAGACTCAACAATAATTTAAGGGTCCAAATTCAAACAGGAAAAGCTACAGTAAGTCTCTAAGTCTCTCTAACAGTGACTGGAGCCAATTATTGCAAAATTAATGGTTCTATGAACATAAACAACAAACATGCCCACTCAGCTGTTTCTCTTGAGCGAGGATCATTTTAGAGATCAACTGATAAAACACAATATTGTGGGTGATGAGCTAACAGTCAACAATGTGAATTATTTTCTCTAATTCTGTGCAGAGCCAACTCTCTGGAACAATCTTATTTTTTTCCTGCAGAACTGAAAATCCTACTGAGGGTTTTATAAGGGAGTGGCATGGAGCCCACTGCTGACTGTTGTGGTTGATAGTGTGAGTGGGATTTACAGTATGGAAAATGGTCACAAAATTGGAGAAAAACTACTCTATAGAGAGCAGCTACTTACATGCAATAATGCGATGTAAAGCGAGCATGACAGAGTGCTCAACGTGTTTAATGCACAATAAAAGAGAAGACAGAAATCCTCATGCAACGCTGAGCAATGACTGTTTATTGGGTTCAATGCCAATAGCTCTGCATTGTACGTATACGCAATCTAAAGCTGGGCATGATTCCATCACAGCTTCTTAAATTTAACAATCTTATCTGTGTGTGTGTGAGTGTGTGTGTATATTCAGAAATGCATCAGAAATGCAGACTCTAGGGCAACCTAAACTAAAGCAGATCTCTTGCTGGATGGGCTTCAGCATGACGCATGCTGTGTAGCAAAAGCGATTTTCTAAAGGTAAAGGGCTCATCTAAGTGTCTGTGCAATTTTGTTCCATTATCTATACAGAAACTGATGCAGCTACTCAGTGAAGCATCAAAATCTCACAGTGTATCTTAGACCAACAACTCCCCTCAGGTGAAAATTTACCCAAACTTTCTTACCGTGGTGGAAGGAAAACCTCATTGAAAATTAGTGACCTTTCTACAAGACAGACAACAGACAAGGCACTTTGCGCTCTCAGATTTACCACCGTCTAGCAGAGGTAAGATAAGGGTTTAGTGGTGTGTCCAGTGACAGTAAATGCTCAGCTCTGGTACTGTAGAACAAGCCAACATAAACACACTCATACACACACTGTACAAGTGCTGCAAGTCTGTAGCACCTGAAATTGCTTCTCTTATTTTCCCTCCACATTCTGCTACAGTAACATCCGGCGTGCTGGAAGATCTATTGCACTGTTTCAATGACTAAAGAGTCAATGTCAAACAGTATTTCCATATAGATCAGCATCTCTGTGGGAACATATTGACATTGGAAACCATCCAAAAAAATAAAAATCCTCTGGAGCTCCCTCTCACAGAGTGAATGAACAGCATTCTCGTGAGGATCCATACATTGCTGGGGTTGAAGCACCCTAATAATTGGATCCCGAACGATTCATCCAAAAAGAGCAAGGACAGAAACCTCACCAAGAAAATTACGTCACTTCTTTCCTATTCCTGGGCTTTGTGGGAATAATGGTAACCACTTATTCAATCTGGGTAAGGGTGCAGACACAGGCCAAAGAACCTTGCCTAACCTTGCTGATCATGCCTCTCTGATCTGTAATTATAATAATGATTGGACTAATTAGCTAGACCTTATGTGCTGAAGTAACAGGGTGATTACAAGTGACCATGGCAGAAGAGAGATGAGGTATAAAGTGAGCAGTGAGGAGACACACATCAGAGCTTGCAGGAACAGTAAATAAATAACATGTTGGGAGGCTGCTGGAAAATCCACTGACAGGAGAGCCTGAAGCATGACCAAAACATGACAGAGAGAGAAAAAAGTATGGGACACTAAAGACGTATCCAGGTCCAAACTCGAATAAAAACAAGAGCATGGTGTTTTCTTGTCTGCAGTAACTGTCATGTTTAAATCTGCAGAGCCCGCACAGGAATCATCAGTGTTGATTCTTCCTCGAGAGGGTAAAACACTGTGAAAAAGTCTCTCAAAGTCAACAACTACCAAAGTTAATCTAACACTTTGCAAGAGTTTTGAGTATACAGGGATATTTAATCTCCTTGAATGGGCAAGCAACAGTTCACCTTTGTCACAAAAAACACATGCATTTGTTGGACCCTAAAAGCGTTGGGTGCTAGGTTCAGAAGCAACAGATGGTGCCTATTTGGAGTCCTGATCCCTTAGGACCACTTATCGGGTATAGAGCTGAGAAATTACTGGTAATTTGTTATTTCCTTTGATCAGCACCATCACAAAAGTAGCCTTCCATTATCTAAGGTTCATTTTGAAAATGTCATGTTTTCAATCCTTGTGAGATTTGGAAACACTTGTTCTGCACGATGTTACTGCAACATAAAAGCCATTCAGTAGCTTAAGCTCATTCAAAATGCAGCCGCCCACATGTTGACTTGATAGCAAGGGAGTAGATGCTGTCCATAATAAAGAAAGTAACACAAAGGAATTGCTGTCCCTTGTTCCATTCTTTAGTGGGGTTTTTTTGAGAATGTTAACAGTATATTATAACGTAAAAAAAAGTAGTGGCGACCTGTGAATTTTCCCCCTCTAAAATTGGCATTGTATTGGTCTCAAAAATGCCTGTGAGGGAAAGCCCAGGGCAAAATAACTCTATAAAGCACTTGCTTCACCACTCACAGCTGCTTGTTATTAAGTTTATTCCTGTGAGGACATATTCATATCTGAGGGCATCTCAGATGACCATATGAACAGTTTTTACTATTTTTTCCCATCATCGGCACCATGGTGGCTGGACAGTCAGAAGACACAGTTTTGCAAAAATGCAATCATATCACTGGTTCTCACATCTCCACTGC